GAACGAAGGTCAGAGTGGTCTGAGTGGTCTGGATGGACCCAAAAAATGCAGGACTAACTGAACCATCGCATGTTCGTGAGTGGCTTTAGTACATAAGCCCTTACTGTCAACTGTCACGTGACTTCAAAACTTAACTAATAGCACTTCTCCGGTTATTTTTAAACCAAATCACAATCTTTTGTTTACCTAACTAGGTTTGATGTCTTAAACTTAACCAAGTGTTTCACATGTAGTTATTTAAACCAGAAATACCATCAATCAATCAATCAATCAATCAATCAATCAATCAATCAATCAATCAATATGTTTATTTATATAGCCCAATATCACAATGTTACATTTGTCTCAGTGGACTTCACAGTTTGTACAGAATATCAGTATGACAATACGACACCCTCTGTCCTTAGACCCTCTGTCCTTAGACCCTCTGTCCTTAGACCCTCTGTCCTTAGACCCTCACATCGTACAAGGAAACACTTCCAGAGAAAACCCACAGTTTAAAGGGGAACATGGGAGAAACCTCAGGGAGAGCAACAGAGGAGGGATCCCTCTCCCAGGACGGACAGACGTGCAATAGATGCCGTGTGTAAATCGAAGAGATAATACATTTACAACATAGGTAGACCAAATGTTAGGAAATGCATGTGTCTATAATAAGAAGATGAATCCATGAGGATGTCAGCCATCCTGTGGGAGCCATCAGGGAAATACCAATACATCTTTTTTGTTGCCTAAACCTCCCCGAGTAGTTTGTGTTGAAAGACTGTATGCACCTAACAAGCTCATCTTGACACGTGTTGCTGTAAATTCGTAAATAATTTCACACAACTTTTACTTATAAACTATACAAATGTTTCACGAAGACACAATTTTACTGTTTGGATATGAGAATGGGGTCGATCTTCTTGTTTTAATCTTGGCAAGATAACCAAATGATCATATTTCCCAATAAATCCAACTGTACTTTTAAAGCTTCACATTGTGATACTCAACATGCCACACACGGCTAATTTGCATCCACAGGAAGACCAGTGACGTCCCTGAGCAGTACAGAGAGGAGGGCGAGATGGTGGTCCCCAGTTATGGATTCTTCATCCGAGGAGCCGAGTCCACCTTCAGTGGAGTGCTGAGGTTTGATCACAACATCTGTTTATCTCCTAATAACTTCTGATCCCATGAGGCCACGGTTTGGTAATCCATCCAGAAATTGTTGAAATCCTCTCAATTGGAAGACAATATCTCCGGAGTTTGCCTGATGGGACCAGAATGTGTTGGCACACCAAAGAAAAAACGGTAAAGTTTTATGATTTACGATAGTTGAAGTGACAGATTTTTGTCTTTTGTTTCAGGGATCGGCAGTGGAAGTACATCCTGTGCAGAATGACAGACTTTGACTGCGAATTTGAGAATTTATAGAACTTTCCCCTCACAATATAAAAGCACAACTATATTTACTCTTACATTTAAACTTAAACATAATACTGACATTATGATTCACATTTTCATTCATGGTTTATTTTTGTTAAATGCATCGCCCACACACTCTGTATAATCACTGTTTTTAAGTCTGGCATGCACACATCACTGCTCACATACTAGTTAAATGTCTAGACAGACAAACAAACAAACAAACAAAGGAATTATGTCGCACCAAAACCCGACAATCCAATATAAACTGTGATCCAGTCCATTTTTAACCTAGATTTGAAGCCGTTTTGTATTTACAATTGCTGTTTTAAAAAAAGATGGATTGGACAAAATAATCGGCTTGTTGGAGCTCCTGCCCCCCCCCCACCTCCCCTCCCTGTGAGCTCAGTGGCCGTCTGCGAGACAGCGAGACACAGCGAAACCCAGCCCGAAACACACACACACCCGCAGCCTGGCTGGGACTTTGAGTGTGTGCTCA